GAAGCCATTTCAAGCACATGATTTGACTTTTCATTTCTAAGATGTAAGGTTATAAACATTAATAGTAAGTGCTGTATGTCTTGTAGTTTGTGCATTAAACAAGCAAAATATAATTGCTTAGTGTGATGTGCGCGACTTCCCGATCTCCCTGTATATGCATTTGTCCTGTCCCCTATTCATTCTACATGCCGTGCCCATCTCATCTTCCTTGACTTGATCAGTCTGTTTATAATTGGTGAAGTGTACAAGTTACGAAGCTCCTCATTATGCAGTTTTCTCCAACCTCCTTTCACTTCATAACCCTTTGGTTCAAATATTTTCCTCAGCACCCAGTTTTCAAAAGTCAATTAACCTGAAACATTTTCTCATATTAATGGAGTGCGCTGATTTAATCCTGCTAATTCGTAGAATGAATTTTGAATTGTGCACTGAATGTGGAGGATATCACTTTGAACAATTCTTGTGAATTCTGTAAGTGATAAAGACATTTCTAACATATTTTAGTGTACATTTCACTAACCAGATACCTGACTTTTGGTCAACCTGTACAATTGTCTTCTCTGGAAGGGATGGCAACAGTAGAGAGCAAATAGCCCAGAGGACCCATGGCCTTTTCTAAGGACTGGATGCTCAATAGTACCTGTGCAATTTTGGGCTATGACAAACTGTCCCAAAACCACCTCAGACTTTTACACAGTTGTCATATTTACGACCTTTTCATACAAAAATTCACATGCTTAACTCCAATGGTTCATATAGTTACAAACACAAAACCAAAAGATAACAAAGATTTTGTGTGACTGCCTTGTTTTACATTATAGAAAAATATTACTTAATAAATCAAGCATATTTTTCAAAATAGTTATTACCACATAAATTTTAAGATCCTATGCTACTAGCACAGATGGCAGAAATGAAAACACTCAAAAGTGAAGTGACATCTAGTGATGTGATGTAGGTATGAAGGTTTTTAATTCAAAGCGTAGGATTAATAAAGGGTTAATCCAAAGGGGAAGCACAATTGACCATTGAAGTTCACAGTGGGAGGGCCAGATTTTATGGCCCACCCATTACACACACACATACATACGATAGGGTACCCAAAAGAAACTGAACTAATTTTTTTGTGGGCAGAGCTTTTGTAGTACCGCGTTTTGCCGCTATGAGCGCATAGAGCTAACATTCCTGAGTCGATAAGCCGACTACCGTTGCTTCAGAAGGTAAGCACTAGTTTCGGCAGAGTTTATAGTGACAACTGTTTTGTGTGACCGTCGTTTTTGCAATGGCCCGAACACATGAAAATGTTGAAAAAATTCGTGAAATCATCAAGGAAGATCGACGACGGACCATTGAAGAAATTGTGGAGCTGTCGGGAGTGACCTGGAGCTCAATTTAGCGAATGTTGACAGAAGATTTGGGAACGAAAAGGGTGGCTGTGAAATTTGTGCCACGACTGCTGACTGCTGAACAAAAACAAGGTCGCGTGGAAGCATGCTGTGCTTTGAAAGAAGAGTCCCGAAATGATCAAAACTTTTTTTCAGCGTTTTGCTGATGTTGCTGAGGTGAAGGAAAAAAANAATTGAAGAATCTGATCGGGGTTTCTTCACTGACGAAGCGCGGGTTCACCTTAGTAGCTACGTGAAGTCAAAACAATAGGATTTGGTCATCTGAAAATCCACATGTGTTAGATGAAAACTGCAGTGTGGTGTAGTGTATCACGTTGTCGAATAGTGGGCCAAATTTTCTTTGAAACAACACTGAACATTCCAATGTACCAAGAAATCATTACACAGTTTATTGCACTTCTTGAAGTTGATGAATGTGAGTGTTGCTTGCAGCAAGATGGTGCCACATGTCATACATCTGATGAAACCATGCAGTTCTTGCGCGAGTTTTTCGGTGACCATCTCATTTCAAAAGGATTATGGCCCCCGCATTCACCCAATTTTTCACCCGCACATTTTTCCCTTTGGGGGTACCTCAAAGGAATGGTCTATAAAAATTATCCGCATACACTGGATGACCTCAAGAGGAACATTATGACAGCGATTAACAGCATCAGTTTACAGGTGCTCCACAAAGTGGTCTCAAACATGGTAAAAATAGCTTGTGCATGCATTGCTGAACAGGGAAGCCATTTCAAGCACATGATTTGACTTTTCATTTCTAAGATGTAAGGTTATAAACATTAATAGTAAGTGCTGTATGTCTTGTAGTTTGTGCATTAAACAAGCAAAATATAATTGCTTAGTGTGATGTGCGCGACTTCCCGATCTCCCTGTATATGCATTTGTCCTGTCCCCTATTCATTCTACATGCCGTGCCCATCTCATCTTCCTTGACTTGATCAGTCTGTTTATAATTGGTGAAGTGTACAAGTTACGAAGCTCCTCATTATGCAGTTTTCTCCAACCTCCTTTCACTTCATAACCCTTTGGTTCAAATATTTTCCTCAGCACCCAGTTTTCAAAAGTCAATTAACCTGAAACATTTTCTCATATTAATGGAGTGCGCTGATTTAATCCTGCTAATTCGTAGAATGAATTTTGAATTGTGCACTGAATGTGGAGGATATCACTTTGAACAATTCTTGTGAATTCTGTAAGTGATAAAGACATTTCTAACATATTTTAGTGTACATTTCACTAACCAGATACCTGACTTTTGGTCAACCTGTACAATTGTCTTCTCTGGAAGGGATGGCAACAGTAGAGAGCAAATAGCCCAGAGGACCCATGGCCTTTTCTAAGGACTGGATGCTCAATAGTACCTGTGCAATTTTGGGCTATGACAAACTGTCCCAAAACCACCTCAGACTTTTACACAGTTGTCATGTTTACGACCTTTTCATACAAAAATTCACATGCTTAACTCCAATGGTTCATATAGTTACAAACACAAAACCAAAAGATAACAAAGATTTTGTGTGACTGCCTTGTTTTACATTATAGAAAAATATTACTTAATAAATCAAGCATATTTTTCAAAATAGTTATTACCACATAAATTTTAAGATCCTATGCTACTAGCACAGATGGCAGAAATGAAAACACTCAAAAGTGAAGTGACATCTAGTGATGTGATGTAGGTATGAAGGTTTTTAATTCAAAGCGTAGGATTAATAAAGGGTTAATCCAAAGGGGAAGCACAATTGACCATTGAAGTTCACAGTGGGAGGGCCAGATTTTATGGCCCACCCATTACACACACACATACATACGATAGGGTACCCAAAAGAAACTGAACTAATTTTTTTGTGGGCAGAGCTTTTGTAGTACCGCGTTTTGCCGCTATGAGCGCATAGAGCTAACATTCCTGAGTCGATAAGCCGACTACCGTTGCTTCAGAAGGTAAGCACTAGTTTCGGCAGAGTTTATAGTGACAACTGTTTTGTGTGACCGTCGTTTTTGCAATGGCCCGAACACATGAAAATGTTGAAAAAATTCGTGAAATCATCAAGGAAGATCGACGACGGACCATTGAAGAAATTGTGGAGCTGTCGGGAGTGACCTGGAGCTCAATTTAGCGAATGTTGACAGAAGATTTGGGAACGAAAAGGGTGGCTGTGAAATTTGTGCCACGACTGCTGACTGCTGAACAAAAACAAGGTCGCGTGGAAGCATGCTGTGCTTTGAAAGAAGAGTCCCGAAATGATCAAAACTTTTTTTCAATGTTTTGCTGATGTTGCGGAGGTGAAGGAAAAAAACGACAGAGGTGCTGTCAAGCATCTCAAAAGATGAATTTAGACAGTGTTTTCAAAAATGGAATAAAAGACTAGACAAGTGTATTAGTGTAAGTGGAGAGTACTTTGAAGTGGATTGAAAGTTTGTGCTTAAAATTTGAATAAATAAGTTAAAAGAAAATAAGTTCGGTTTCTTTTGGGTACCCCCTCGAACATACATACATACGTGGTGTGTTCAAAAAGTATCAAGCCTTCTTTTTTCCCGTGTAAACCAATGAAGCGCGGGAAGCTCCCTTCGGCGGAGATGTGGAGGGGACATTCACGTGCAGTCGTTAATTTTTTCCTGCCCACAGAAAGCGTCAGTCACTGGCAGTCGGCCTATGAGTGAGGACGTGTAGTGAGCACTCGTCGGATTCCAGTAAGATGTAAAATGAGGGAAAAACATGAGCAGCGATATTGCATCAAATTTTGCAAAAAGCTTGGCGATACCCAAGTGGAAACAATTTGTAAGATTCAACAGGCTTTCGGGGATGATGCCATGAGCAACTCACGGATAAAGGAGTGGTACAACCGCTTCAAAGATGGCCGCACATCAGTGGACAGAGAACTGCGTTCAGGCAGATCCTTAACAAGCCGAAATGAGAATGTCATTGAGCAAGTGTGGACTTTGGTCATGTAGGACCATCATATCACAGTCCGAGAACTTGCGAATGAGATAGGGGTAAACATTGGATCGATACATTCAATTTTGACCGAGGATCTGGGCATGAGGAGTGTCCGCAAAATTCGTACCGAAACTGTGCATCTGATTCAGACTTTCATCGCCAAACACAACATCCCTGTGTTTCGTCAGGCTCCCTACTCCTCCGACATGGCTCTGTGTGACTTTTGGCTATTTCCCAAGCTGAAAATGCTGATGAACGGAACCCGATTTGAGTCAAGAGAAGACATCACGCGGAATGCGACGGCCCGGCTGATCACCATTTCAAAAGAAGCATTCCAGAAGTGTTTCCAACAATGGCGGAAGTGCTGGGAGAAGTGTGTACATTACCAAGGAGACTACTTTGAAGGGGATTAGGGTTTTATACCTCCAAGTCAATAAATGTATTTCTGCCGACCAAAGGTTCGATACTATTTGAACACACTATGTACATATGTATGAAGATTCATAAATATTTGTGAAATCGGTTCAAAAGTTATTAACAGGGAATAAACACAAAGACATCATAATACCATCATTTTAAATCAGGATAGGCAGACCAAGACCACCGCTATACTTGATATCAAGTTACAGACATCAGTGTTCTGTTTTACTAACCTCAGTAGCATACAAAATGTCCAGAATCTTTTGGATAATTGGGTTCTGCTCATTGTCATTTTCTTGGCACATAACTTCTATGTCTCTTAGTTTTCCAAAACAAAAATCTCTCTCCTTCTCAAGGCCATCCACAGTAAGTTTCAGATCCAGCAACTGAAAGAAAACACTTCCTTCCTATAATATATAGCACCAATGAACAGAAAATATATGGCAGCAGATAAATGGACATAGTTATGTACCTATTAAATTATCTCATGCAAACATGCAGCCGAGTTCTACAGCACAAGACCCTATCTTGAGAGTTGTGAGGAATGCAGGAAGTCACAACCATTAAAGGTGTGACTGCAGCATGGATCAGCAACTACTACCTGAGCTGAAACAGAAATGCTTTAGTTCAGTCCAGTTGAGCCCTACACTAGCTAGTGGCCAATATGTTCTCAACTAATGCTATACACGCCATGTCTGTTTCCATTCCTTCCCACTTGATGATCCCTTCATTCCTCACCCCACAAGTGTCAAGATTTGAGTCTACCAGTACTTGATAAGCCAACAGCAGTTCAGCCATTCAAGAAAATCCCAAAATTTTATGAAACATGAAGGTTCATTCCTGTGTTGACAAGAGCCCACCACTGGTCTTTCCAGATAAATCCAGTTCATGCCTCCCAATTACACCCAGGCCTTGTTACACTGGTCTCTTCCTTTCTGGTTTCCCCATTAAAACCCTTTTTGCACTTTTCCATCTCAGCCTCCTTGACCTGATCAATTTAATTATACTTGGAGCACAGTGCAAATAATGTAGTTCCTAGTTATGCAGTTTTCTCCAGTTTCCTATTATTTCACCCCTCTTGGGTCCAAATATTCTCCTCAGCACCCTCTTCTCAAACACCCCCAGTTCATGTTCTTCCCTTAATGTCAGTGAGAGAGTTTCACACCCATTAAAAACCAAAGAGAAAATTATAATTCTGAATGTATTGTGGCTTTATGTTTTTAGACAGCAGATGGGAAGGCAAAAGGTTCTGAACTGAATAGTATTAAGCATTACTTGAATTTAATCCTTCCTTAATTTATTCACGAATCTAGTTTCAATTTGTTACTGTTATTCGAAAATATTCCAACTTTGCCACATTTTCAAAGGATCTACTAGCTATCTTTATGGAACAGACTCATAAAAGTTTTGAACAGTCCTAGTGGAATTTTATACCATTCTTCTTGAAGAACATCTTCAAGTCGTTTTGGAGACACTGGAGGTTGGAATCTGTTTCTCATTCTAGTCTCCAAAACTGACCAGACTGGTTCAAAGATGTTCAAATCTGGCGACTGTGCTGGCCAGGGAAGATGATGAAGTTCACCTTCAAGCTCCTCAAACCATGAATGAACAGTTCAAGCTGTGTGAATGGGAGCAATGTCATCTTGGAAAACTGTGTCGCTGTTCAGAAATAACGTCTGGATCATGGGATACACCTGATTACTCAACCTGTCCACAAACTCCTTTGCAGTATTTCAGTCACGAAGGGTAATAATGGGACCAACATAACACTGTGTACCAGAATATTGCTACCCAAACCATCACAGAACATACCCCATGTTTCACTGTTGGAACCAGACATTCTGGATTGTAGGCATCCTTGAGTGTTCCTGATGTAAGGAACAGTGTGAAGGATGACTCATCTGACCATATTATGCGTTTTCAGTTGTCAGATGTCCAGGCTGCATAGCTGACACCATCGTTTATGCATGTGAGCATTACTTTCAGTAATCAGAGATTTAGCAGTTGCAGCCCTATTGTGGATGTTGGATTTGTGAAGTTCACGTCAGACAGTTTTTGTGGAAACATTCTTTAAGATGAATATTCATTTCTGCTATCATCTGCTCTGCAGTAGTTCTGTGATTTTTTAAAACAACTCTTCTCAATGTATGACGATCTCTGTCAGTGTTGATTTTCACAGCCTTGACCTCGCACAACACTAAGGGCCTTCATGGCCTGTTAAAGAAATAGTTTTACCTTTATACGTAGCATGTCCACAAAGTAAGTTTCCCACTCATCCCACAGCTAGCAAACCTTATATTGTGCAAAGCGACTGTGTGTACGTGATAGAGCAATGACGTAGCATGGCGCATGCACAAACGGAATTTCCTGCGTTCCCACAGTAGCATCATTGCAGCTGTTGAAGATGAAGGCTCTTATTCCAACTCCCGCTGACTGTGATTGTGCGGTCAGTGATAAAGTTTTTGAATGCACAGAGCATAGCGCCGATCAAAATTCATCGTCAGCTGTGCCGGGTCTATGGGCATAACATCATGAGCAAGCAGATGGTGCGTCGCTGGTGCAGACAGTTTTCAGCAGTTCGACAAAGTGTGCATGATGAGAAGCGCAGTGAGCGGCCATCCATCATTACAGACGACCTGGTGGAGCTTGTGCGGGAACACATTATGGAGAATCGTCTCGTCATAATTGTGGAACTCAGCAGTCATGTCCTGCAGATTTCCTGCACCTTGTTGCACGAAATTGTCACGGAGCACCTGCTGTTCAAGAAATTGTGCACCAGGTGGGTGCCGAAGCAACTGACACCAGAACACAAAACAAAGCGCACTGAGTCAGCATTGACCTTTCTGCAGCAGTACCATGATGACGGCGACGAGTTTCTGGACCGGATCATCACAGGTGACGAAACGTGGATTGCACACATTACCCCAGAAACCAAGCAGCAGTCAATGCACTGGTGTCACAGTGGATCTCCCTGTAAGACGAAATTCAAGCAGACCTTGTTGGCGCGGAAAGTGATGTGCACGGTATTCTGGGACAGACGGGGCGTTCTCCATGTCGACTTCCTGACCAGAGGTGATATGGTGAATGCTGAGCATTACTGTGAGACACTGCAGAAATTGCGACAAACCATTCAGAACGAGCGGCGCAGGATGCTTAGTGCCGGTATTGTCTTCCTGCACGATAACGCTAGGCCGCACACGGCTCGACAGACAGCAAGTCTCCTGCAGGAGTTCAGCTGTGAGGTGTTTAATCATCCACCCTACAGCCCAGACCTCACTGCCAGTGATTTCCATCTTTCCCTACACCTCAAGAAATTCCTGTCCGGTGAGCATCAGTGTTTTGAGAATGACAGAGGCGGAGATGGCTGTCACACAGTGGTTCCAACCCCAGGCGGCAGACTTCTATGACACAGGTATTCAGAAGTTGGTCCCATGGTATGACAAATGTCTCAATTCCGGTGGCGATTATGTTGAAAAATAGCTGAACACTTACTGTATCTGTTGCAATAAATATTTCCATGAAATTGTGTTTTGTTTCTGTAAACGGCCCAGGGAAACTTACTTTGTGGACGAGCCTCGTATATACACCCCTGAGATCAGGATAAGTCAACAAGAGGTAGCATGAAAATGTAAAATAAAAAGTTATCATAATCCCCAACACGAATTCAAAAGAAACTCTTGTTCTTACATTTTCCCCATGCCCTCTGTGAGTGCAAGCAAACAAACATGAAACTGGACATTGCATTAGGTTGTCCTACAATATGTTCAGTGTTTCAAACTGATAAATTTTTTTGCCTATGACATATAATGAATAAAACAGAAGCAACAATAATGACATACAACTGGAATATGTGTTATCATATTTCGCATGTGGGCCACCTGTAATGTGGCAGATACTGAGGCAAGAGACAAATTCAAATACAGGGTGGAGCACAGAAACTTCCTTTTTGTGAAGACACATTGTGAAGGGAGGGGAGGTCGCAGAAAAGTGGGGATAGGCTCAGTGAACGCAGCAGTCGTGGAAGTTTCTGTCTAATACCCCTCAGTAGGAAACATGAGGTGGATGAGTGAGCAATGTGCGTTTGCTGTCGAAGCCTATTTTTTGAACAACCATTCCTACGTGGTGGTGCAGCGTGCGTTCTGTACTCACTTTGGAATTAAGCCCAGAGGTCTGGTTCCCGACTGGAAATTGATTGTTTTGTGGGTAGAGAACTTTAGGACAACCGGGAGTGCGGTGAAAAAATCATCAGGATGACAATGGACCGTTACGACACCAGAAAGTGTGGAGGCAGTTCGACAGTCGATTTTGAGATCTCCAAGACGCTCCATTCGCAAACATGCAGTTGCCCTAGACATATCCAATCGTTCAATGAGCTGAATTCTTCACGAACATCTTCATTTCCATCCCTATAAGATGGTTGTTGTGGAAGAATTGTCACCACGTTATTTCAGAACCGAATAATGGCGTGCGAAACGTTATTGGAAACTTTACCCCTTGACGCACTTATTTTCTTTAGTGATGAGGCATATTTTCACCTATCTGGATATGTCAACAATCAGAATATGCGCTACTGGAGTGGTAACAATCCCAGAGAGCTCCATGAGAGGCCACTTCACAGTGATAAGGTGATAGTATGGTGTGCATTGTCAAGAGTTGGAGTTATTGGCCCTTATTTTTTTGAAGAAAACAATCATGCAGTTACTGTCAATTCACAGCGGTATGTGGACATGATTAAAAACTATTTCGAACCAGCCCTTGAAGAAATGCATCTAGGAAATGTCTGGTTCCAACAGGATGGTGCCACGGCCCACACAGCCCAAGTTTTGATGACAGTTTTGAGGGCAAAGTTCCCTGGACGGCTCGTCTTGCTTCGAGGTGACATCCCATGGGCAGCACACTCACCTGATCTAATGCCCTGTGATATTTCTTATGGGGATACCTCAAGGCAGAGGTTTTTAAACATTGCCCCACAAACCTGCTTCAGCTGAAGAATGTTATTCGGCAGGAAGTAGCCCAAATTCCGATGCACATGTTGCAACGTGCAGAGGGGAGCTTCAGAAAACGGTTGCATCAGTGCATAGAGAACGGTAGCCACCACCTTCAAGATATTTTGTTTCAAACTACATGATTTAAAACTTTGAAGTATGTTCTTTCATTAGCTAAACACAAATTTTGTCTATCAGCAATAATTTTTCTTTTATTCGCCTTCAAAAAAAGGAAGTTTCTGTGCCCCAGCCTGTAGTTCCGGTGTTACAATTTCTATGGCTACCAGAATCACGTGTTTTAATAGTCTGTCCAACAGATCCATGATTACAAGTATCATGTTTTTGGCCATTATCCATCATCTTGTCTATATTTAAAAACACAACGTTTCGGAGACTGGATTCTGTCTCCGTCCTCAGGTAGAACCTACCCAGTTGGGCTCAACAGATAGAGCTCATCCCTGTCTCCGGTCCATGGCATGCACACTATGGCCCATGAAGTTATCTAGACATTGTACTTCATAAATCCCTCCCATCCATAATACCAATACTACAGCCTCCCAAACTGTTCAAGTAATAACTTGAATACAGTGGAACCTCGCTTAATGAGTAATTCGCATAACGAGCTTAACGAGTGACAAGAGGGGAAGTCCCGGATTGTGTGATTGCTACATCAGGCTGTGTTTAGCACTCGTTCCGCTAGCATCTCAGTGTCGCTTGTGATCACACATTTTTCCAAACTTGTGTTCATACATATTATTTGTGATTTTTTTTGTGCAAAGTTTAATAACCCTTGCAAAAATGTACCCAAAGAAAAAGCCACAAAAAGACAGCCATAAGAGAATAAAAATAAACGTAGAAATGAAACGTAAAATCATCGAAAAGCGAGAACGAGCTGTGAGCATGGCTGATCTAGCACGCACATACAATCGGTCTACATCAACGATTTGGAGTTGCATTGTGTTTCACAGCAAGAAGTTATAGAGGAGAGTTTGTCAGAGGATGAGGAGGAGGTAACAGCAAAGCAACAATCTTCTGGCACAATAAGAGAAATGCTGAAAGCATGGGAAACTGTTGCATCGTACATTGAGAAGCATCACCCTAATAAGGCAGTGGCTATGCGCGCTACAAATTTATTTAATGATAATGCTGTGACATTTTCACCAAATTTCGAAGCGTCGGCAAAAACAAATGTCTCTAGACAACTTTCTAGTAAAAAAGAATTAGATATGTATCATAAATAATAAACTAATTACTTTGATTTTTTTTCTGCAAATCGAATTCAGATTTCAGGTTGGTTCATTCCACATAGAAGAAAAGATGATGCATGCTCCTTAACAATGTATATATAATTCTCTTTGAATAAAAGTTATACATAAAATTGTTTGAGTATTTTTTCTGGCATGGAACGCATTATCGTATTTTACATTAATTTATATGGGAAAAATTGTTTCGCTTAATGAGTGTTTCACATTACGAGTAAGATTCTGGAACAAATTATGCTCGTTAAGCAAGGTTCCACTGTATTACTTTAATGCTTGAACTGATAATCATGAAACTTGGTATGAAAACCATGACATATTAGGCACTCTTTAACAGCATATCTCACAAATACTTCCCTTCAGTAATACTAACATAAGAGCTGCTCATATTATTAATGTGGATGTCATAAGCTTCATCTTATCCAAACATTCACTTGATAAATATGAATTACAATGCTTCAAGTGGACCTCCTAATATGAAAAATGAAGCTATCAAACCAATAAAAGACATGAAGAAAGCAGTCTTGTGGGATGTGGCGCCGTGTAGATATTGTGTTAACTGACATTTAGGAGGAAAGTATTGCCCTGATCTTCAGGACAGAAGAAAAAAGTAGAAAATCTGCGAGAGAGGAACCAGCATGAGCAAGTTGGTTAACAAAATATCTACATGGCACCACATCCCAGAAGACTGCTTTCTTCAGAGTCACCACTGTGAAAACCTCAAATCTTACATGATAAAAGGCATGTTTTTACAGCAGCAAATCATTTAATTAAACATATATGAAACTGTGTACTTATTACCATGGAATGCCACATGGCCATATAGAAGGCAGTGAAATTTTTGCAGATAAGAAAGAGCGCAAGACAATTTCTTCAGAGTTTTGTGGTTTAATATTGAAATATTAGCTCTGGCATCAACTTTACCTCTTCTAACTGTACTGTTAGTTGCATAATTCACATTCTACAAAAATCCAGCTTACAGTATTGTTTGACTTCATTACACATACATGCTAAAGTATTTTTTGACTTGCATCAAATTCAAACTGCTGTGAAAGGAAAGTATGCAGTTCTTCCAAGAACTTCTTGTCATTTCATTCAGTTATGCATCATAATTACGAAGTATAACACTCTGAAGCCCTAAATGTATTCTGTGGACACTGTGCATATGATGTATTATCACATCAAGTGCTGAGAACATTTATCCTTTAATACTGGCAAAACAATGAAACTTCATTCTCTATGAGTGCAGATATACATCAAATTGACTTTGAATATAATGTCACGTGTTGGGTGTATGTTACATGACAAATAACTTCACACCGTTCTGGATCTAGCGAATTTATTGCACTCGCTCTCACAATTACTGCCATCTGCAGTCACAATAATATGACGAAGACACTTCTGTGGCTAATTCTTACCTGTGTATTGAGTTCCTCCACTTTGCCAGCATCTCCTCTCTGATTGGAAATCCCTTGATTTCTGTTTGGGACTGGGCGAGAAGTCTGATTCATTTTTGGTACTGTGGTACAAAAAGAGAAAATCTTAAACCTCGTTTTATATTATGTTCAAGACAGAAAGAGTAGAGTTCTGGAATTCCACTGTAAATTCTCGTGTGTGTCAATACACTTTATTAAAATTTGTCTCAGAAATGCTGGTCAACCTAGGCTTACAGAACTGATCTATTCACCATATAAAGCAATCCTGACTCATAACTAAAACCCAGCACTGATAAACAAATCCTAATGCACTGTTTGATGACTTGTTTGTATAAAACACAATTAGGAAAAGAATTAGATAAAAACATCTATCAGCAGTTCCATATTTTCAATGTTCTTTTTATTAATTCCATCTTTAAAGTATTGAAACTTTCATATTCTAAATTGAATTCCTTTTCCCATTTTGTGGGGGATGAATGGAAATCTACAACCTCCTCAGTTGTCACCTTTGGCATCTACTGTATCTAATTCTACAGTTGTTTTGCATTTATTAATTTTTAAATGATGATGTAACAGAAATCTAAATATACCAGAGTGAGTAATACCATCATTTTGCTCTACAAAAAACGCACTTTAACCTTTATTGGTTATGTGTGAAGGGTATGCTTCAGTTCATTGTGTGGTCCGGATGGTTGACTCTTGCATTTCTTCCATGCTAATATTGTTATTCTGCACTTGAAATATGGTCATAAAACCTGTACATGTAGGAGATTTAAAACCCTCTATTCCCCAACAAAGTGTTACCCCCAAATTAATGTATGCCACCAATCCTCTACTGGGGGGTCACGCGGTAGTGTAGTTGGTTGAGGCACTATGCTACACGCCAGAAGGTCACGGATTCAAGTCCTGATGAGGTCACTGGATTTTTTTTCAATTGACCTAATCCTTCCAGCTGCACTATGGCCCTGGGGGTCAACTCAGAAATGAGTACCAGGAATTAATTAAATAATTTTCCTGGGGAGTAAAGCGCAGCTGGCACATAAGACTGACAAACTTGCCGCCATTTTTGAGCAGACTGTCTAGATAATGCGGGACCCTCAACGTCTCACAACCCTATGGGCCTTCACGGCCTGGTACAGGGATAGCTTTACTTTTATTTTACTTTTACCAATCCTTACTACCAGATTTGAAACCCCCAGCCCCAGATGATGTTAAATATTGTAAAACATAATCACCAGTATTTTTTTTTATTGCTAGTGGGGTGGGACTAAATCCCTTGTACTGTGGCCACTTCTGGCCTAATGTACCAGCCCCAGATGATAGGTGAGGGTGATTGTGGAGCAATTGGTGGAATGAAGATTGGCAGGGGAAACCGAAGTACTCAGAGAAAACCTACCCCAGCGCCACTTTGTCCACCACAAATCCCACTTGACCAGAGTCAGGATCGAACCCGGACCACCACGGTGGGAAGCCAGCGATTAACCGCTTGAGCTATGAGGCGGCCCTAATCACCAGTATAATAACAGCACTTAGCTATACATAAAAAATGCATGCACAGATCATTCTACTTAATACTAAATTTTGGCAGGC